GCGGTAAGCCCGTGTGATTCCCAATGCGAATGGTCGTTGTATGCTGTTAAGATGTTTGACCTTCCTTCCTTGCATTGGGTAGGCCCATACTGCGGCAGCATACGTCGCTATCTTCTCGATGACTGTCGTGTACAATACCTTTTGAATATGGGGGTTAAGCTCCCATTTGTGACCATAAAAGAGTTTCATTTGTTTGGCTATGGCTGCCGTCCGGAGTTTGAGATCCTACACGTGAGGGATCCAGGTCATCTTATGATCAAAAGTGACCCCTAAATATCTTAGCTGGTCCACTATCTGCAGGCGTTGGTTGTTAATCTTTATGGTGGGGCGTCTTACTAAGGATCCTCCTTTTTTCGGAATTAAAAGGACTTTTTGACTTATGTTCTGCAATTGTGAGCTTAAGTTTGGTACACTGGTCATGAAAGATCGCGCAAACTTCATTGAAATTTTTCTGTAATTTTTCTCGCGTGGTACCCTTTACGATAAGCGCCGCGTCATCCGTGTATGCAATGATTTTAGTGTGCGCCGGCCACGTCGCTGTCAGTACTTCATTGAACGTTAAGTTCCATAAATGCGGCCCGGCGCACGATCCTTGCGGACATCCTCTAGTTTGCATCTTTTCGATAATGCCTGCATTATGCACCGCTAATAGCTTCCGATCCTGCAGGTAGTTGCTTATTATACTATATATGTTACTTGGGCAATTAGCCCTTCGTAATGCCTGCTTGATAGCCGGCCACCACAGCGTAAAAAAATGTAAATACACAAACACACACACCAAAAAAAGTGATGAAACGATGAATTAGGTGAAGACATGGATGCCCTTAAACCAGGGCCCGCGCTCAAGGCGCAGTGGCAAGAGGCCCGTAGCTCTGTCGTGAAGAAACTTCATTTCCTCGGCAGAATCAGCTGCCGTCGCGTACAGCATCAGAAAGCAATTCAAAAAGCAGAAGACGTGTCAAAAAGGTGTGCTCGTCCCCCAAAACAACCCGTTAAAAGGGAGGAGGCTGGACTGCCACGTTGGCACAACTCACTCTTCGCCAAAAGTTAAAACAGTTGCAACTACAGCATTCCCTCATGTTAGCGAACTCGCTAAATCCTCCTTTGAAACCTCAACGGAAATTTTAAATCGCCAAGCCCTCGCCAAAATAACCACGCCTCGTGGAAAGGGAAACTTGGAATTTCAACAACCCTGTAGGCAGTCCCAACGAAATAACGCTGAAACTCGAAAAAAAAGTGACTATTTCTACCGGAAAAGGGTATTTCATCCCCCACAAAGGAAATCACAATGCAAAACGGGAAAAATCTACTAATTAAAGCTCATAACTGAAATGCAATTAAAGTTAGAAAAACGAAAGTTATGTCAAATTAAAGAGCTAATTTTTCTGCAACTAATGATATTAAATACTAAGAAATCAAATTAATTTTTGACAGGAAAACTTGTGACTGATCTCATATCTTGTTTGCATATATCACAGCAAGCGTTCGTAATTCATCGTAAAAAGAGGTCAAGATTTCGCCTGTCGTTGGTAAGAACCTTTTGGGGCAAAGGGTTTCCCCTCACCCCTTTTCTGTTACCAACAACCTCTCGAAAGGACTGTCGGCTCGTCGCATATTTAGAGTGCCCCTATGCTGCACAGCCACTGTACAATTATTAATATCCGTGCCTTCTTCGGGACTCGAACCTGGACCCTTTGGTACAGCAGTCAAAGTCAGTAAACGCTACCCCGGCTAGGCGGCTTTTGATAAACAATAAGAAATGCTTAGTCCATATTTAACGATTGGAAGTTATTCTAACTTTGCCTTTATCATTTCGAAAAATAAAATTGTTTCGGCGTTCGTAATTATCAAGTATACACCGTTTCACAGCAATCATGCTCTAAAATTGCTTCTTCCTTACAAAAAAAAAAAAAAAAAAAAAAAAAAAAAAAAAAAAAATTACACTTAAAATAAACACATCGCTAACATACAACCTTAAGGTACAGTGCACTCTGAACTGGTTTTACTACTTGAACTAAAACGTTACTTATTCATATAAGAGAACACTTTGATTACTTTGTTGCATATTTTAACAAATAAGAAATGAGAATTATACAGTCCTCGAAACTTCATTATCTTTTGATTGACATTTTCTAACATCCATAAAAAACGAAGCCTGTAATAGTCTTTTTATGTTTTCTACTAATCTTAGTTTTCCTATTTATAACAACGCTTTAAAGAACCAGTTGAACTCGAAGGAAAGAAACTCCACCCGAATGCAAAAGAAAACAGGATTAGTGCCAGTAATACGACAGAGGAAAGCAGAGGTTAGTGTACCCATTTAAAAGTTAAACTTCTGAAATACTCAAATCCGGATCAAACCTTTCCAGTTAGAATGTTTTCCCTGTAAAAAGACTATTTTTTTTTTTTTTTTTTTTTTTTTTTAATTCCGAATAAAATTGCAAAAGGCATGCAATATTTTTTTCTTAGGTAGGAGGTTTTTTTTTCCTTTAAACTCCCCCTGATAGGAGTTTATTTCGTGATTTTAAATTTTTAAATACGAAGCAGTCATAAAAAATCTCCCCGACATATGAACCCCTAGTACCCTATCCTCTAAAGCAATCGTATTGAAATTTTAGACATTATTATTATTTAAACATATGCGCTCGAGATTTTGATGATTTAAAATAATAGAGCTCTCACGGCTACGGTTACAGTAAACCAATTTCGAGATTTTCGAATATTAACACCCACCTTTTGATCATAGCATTGAAAAAATATAAATGGCATTTGAACGATACAAGTATGACGAAAACGGCCGGTTTAAAACTTTTACAAAGGAGAGCTTTATAAAAGACGAATGACAACACAAGAGAGAAGGGGAGACTTTCATTAGAATTACAAGTTTTCAACTTGCGCACCTTCGCAAACTATAACGCATTGTATGTGGAAGGTTGTTGATAACAATAACAAACGTAACATCCTAGGAGTAAGTAATCTGTATAACTTCACGTTTATTGCATCTTTCAATTCTGATAAATCTTGTGGATTTGATGCGTCCACCTTGGATTCAGATAACCTCAAAAGGAGAAGAGAAATCTTTCTGAGTGAGGTCGGGAGATCGCGGTGGCCACAAAACTACAAAATTACGAGAGATGACTCCGGCAACTTTGCAGCGCCTGTCCTTTGTAACTTTGAAACGTTGTACATACGTCTGAAACGTAATACAAACGTTATACAAACGTTTGAAACGTTGCACCCGTTGTCAAATAAAATCGTTTTAAATTATGCAATGATTCACATTTTCGTATTTTTAAATTTAACGGAAATTAATTTTATATAAAATATGAAATTTAATTTTTGAAATGCTCCCCCGATCCGTATATTTTATTTAGCAAACTTTTATACTCCACCGTTAAATATTCTGTAGGAAATAACATTTCCATTAGTGTTGCCAAAATATCTATTTATATATTTCTAGATATACTGATATTAAATTAGTTCAACCCCATTTTTCCTTTGAAGGATATTCTTCACATCGTTTAATGTTGTAGTGGACAAACGTGATCACATTAAGAGGCTTTATGGCGACTATACTTGTAACAGAAAAAGTGTGTTAAATTCTTGGTTATTAACATAATGAAACTGAAAATATTTTTTTTTAATCCAAAAGCTTTCATATTTTATATTTTTTGTTAACTTTATTTAATAAATATCATGTTCTTCGCACTTAAACCATAAAATTCCATTCAACAGCAATATCACAATATAATTTTAAAAGAGCATGTGTTTTGAATTTCCGATACACAGTCTCGTTTGCTGGAGACACAAATGTTTTTTTTTTCTTCTTTTCGTACAGTGTTGCCATTGCTGGCTTTGAAATTGTTGAGTTTTTTTAATCAAAAATCAGTTAACGTTTAACAAAACACAAAACAGATAAAAAAAAATTCCAAATTCCAAATTTGGGCTTCCAGATGCCCATATTCGAGTGGAGGAGTACGTTATTCAAAATTGGATGCCCCTAGATACCGTTGTTTTTTCACGGTGCCAGAAACATGCATTCATTTATGCAGATTCTTCACTATTTAATTTCTTTAAATATACTGCAGGGCGATAATATTTGGTGACAACAATTTGAAAAATGAAACTCCGTTTATAGTGAACCAACGCAAAATGGAAAACGAAATTAATAGACCTTCTGGGCCAATTGCCCATTTGGGCTAGTAACCCATTCAAAGAATGAAGATTGCAGTGTTACTTCCCACTCCCCAGATCTGTAAGAGGAATAGCGGGTTAATATGCTTTCGGCTGCAACATTTTGTAATTCAACTCCAAAATAATCTTTTCAAATACTTTATTTGCATATCAGAAATGTAAAAGGAGAGAGCCAAACATTCCTTCTCTCTCTTAAGACGCCAACCTCAGTCTGTGCATTTTGATACCGCAAGAAAGGAAAACGAGTGAAAGTAAAGCAGACAAAAGCAAAATCGTTTCTTGTCAAGAGAGGAAGCTTCGAGATGGGAAAGATTGTAATTCAAAAAACGGTCCTTCTATCGGCACACTCTTTTCGTTATTACCCATCGATAAATCTCTTTCACCTTGTACACTTATATCTTCTTCGAGTTCCCCTATATATCTTCTCTGCCCCCGAAATTGTGAAAACGAAAATATTTCTTTCCACTCACAAGCTTCAAATACATCTCTTTTTTTCTCTCCCCTTCTCTTTTGGATCTTCCCTTATATCCCTTGCGCTTCAATCTTCAAAGTGAAAAATAGGTTTTAAAACGACTGTCAGAAGAAGAAAAGCGACGTCGCAGAGATATTTTAGAGGTTGTTACTTTCTTCTTTTCTTTTGATAGTTTCGAGGTGTAGTTTTCTTCCTTTTCTGTACCCAACGTTGCTGGAGGGTGCGATATTCGTTTTCCTCCTTTTCTTACGATTGTGATTAACTTGTCATTATCAGCTCTGATATCGATTTTTCCCTAGATGCGCTATTATATTACGTTAATTTTCTTTTGCAGTTGGATGTAGTGGTCCTTCATGCAACATCACGTGTCCTAACGGGAAGACGAGTAGTTCGGATGTGGATTGCAAGGAAGAAGAAAGTAAGTTGATTACTTTTATTTCTATTTTGTTGACATTTTTTATTATAACTTTGCAGAGCGTGTTTACTCATTTTTAGAACGATTTCGATAAAGCGTTTTAAAAAACGCATATGTTTTAGATTAAATATTTGTGGCAATATCTTATCATTTCAAATGAGATGCATCGTCTGCTATTTTAAATTGAATCTTCTTTCAAAACGGTTCATGTAAACAACCTGTGGATTGAAGGATATGTTTTCGCGCTTTCCGAAGACAAATAGTCCTATTCCATAATTCGGATCGTTGTTAAATGAATGGTATTAAAATTTATAAGTGCAAAATAGCAACATTATGAAACGGAAAGAGAAAAACTGCCAGTCATTACTTCTACATGGAAAGAAGACTCCAAACGAATACTCGAAAAGGATACGTGCTGTTTCTAATGTTTCTAAAGTTAAATCCTTGGTAAACAGAGAAAGTCCGCCGAAGCAGAAATAAATTGGAAACATTACATCTGTAGCAACAAAAAATATAAAAAAGGGGCTTTTTTTAAACGTTTTGCGTGTTACCTTTATGTTTCATGTGTTGGCTTTTAGTACAGGTTAAATATGTTAATTTTTTTTTTTTTTGTATTGTATTGTAATATTCTATAGTATCGTATGGTATCTTATATTCGTTAACTTTTATGTAGGCTAAATATGTTATTTTTATTCCTCATAATCGTATAATTAGCCTTATTGCATGTTTTCCCCACAATACCACGTGATCAATTGTATTGTACCGCTATTGCATTCTGTTACATTGTATTCTTTTATTTTTATTTCTTTTGGTATATCCTCTGTGTATTGCTGTAATCATTTACATTCCATTATTTCACTATGTTCTCTATTTTTATGTTATATTGTCATTAAGTCTAATTCTACTGTCTATATTTTACTCATTGTATATTATTGGGCTGCCCCAACATCAGACTGTACTTTAGCTTATGTATATTCTATATTTGTGTGTATTACACCTTTGTAAAATTTTTGCTTATTGTCAAAAAACTCGCCCTTTTTGGCCCTGCATGCTTTTGTTATTTTATTTAATAAATGTGGGGCCTGGGCGGTTGTTGGGACTGTCTTTCGTGGGCATTTGGTCTGTTGGACTGCCCCCGGGTTGAATTTGGCTCTGGGTTTGGGCGCCCGGTGCGTGGCGTCTTGTGATTCCTCTTCAGGCTCTAGATATAGGTGGACGTGGTGCTATACCGATTAACCTTTTGGTAAAGGGACAGTGCACGTCCTCCGTTGCTTATCGCTTTATGTTTCATGTGTTAAACATCAGGCTCCTCCGACTTAAATCATAAAATTCGATTTAACAGAAATATCGCTAAAATAATTTTAAAATGAGCATATCTTTAGAATTTCCGATACACAGTCTCGCATTCTGGAGATATTTTTTTCCGTACAGTGTTGCCATTGCTCGCTTTGAAATTGTTGAGTTTCTTAATCAAAAACTCATAAATGCTTTACTCCGCTTGATTTTATGTCTTGTATTTTAATTTTATCAATTTTAATAATCCCGCCTCGTGTTTGGGGCGTTATAATCATCTTTGGTTTTGCGCCAATAATCTCACTCTCACTCACTCACTCACTCACACATAAATGCTTTACAAAATATGAAAGAGATAATGAAACAGATTCCAAATTTGGATTCCAGATGTCCATATTCGGGTGGATACGTACGTTATTCAAAATGTGATAGCTCTAGGTACTGTTGTTTTATCACAATGCGAGAAGCATACATACATTCATGCAGATTCTTCATTATTTAATTTCTTTAAATATAATACAGGGCTCTAATATTTGGTGGCAACAATTTAAAAATTGATTCGCCATTTATAGTGAATCGACGTAAAATGCCAAAACGAAATTAATAGTTCTTCTGGGCAAATTTCCCCTTTGGACTAATAATAAAGCAAGATTTACAACCTAAAAAAGCTAAAGAATATAATGTTTATCAGCCTTTGCACAGGCATATGGCTAAACGCAAAACATTTTTCAGAATCCTGTATGAAACCTATTTGGCATAAATAAATGGAAATACATTCTAACCCTTGATAAAGCTTTGGTTTATCTAAACCACTGAAACAAGAAAGATGTATTTATTATCGAAAACTACTACCAAGTGCCGTCCAGCACTTGGCTGATTGGCATAATGTGAGGGATTGTACACGAGCAGACATCCTCAGTAAACTAAAACAACTTTCCTTTTCTCATCGGCTCCACTTTCAGTCCACTTTCAGTCCCTTGTCGACGATGCGGGAAATGAAATTGCAGAGAGTTTGGCTAGAGCTGGTGCTAGCGAGACCACAATGCTTGCCTTTCCTCTTACTTATATGGAACTATTTTCTAAATGTAAGGCAAAGAATAAGGCCGTTTAGATGGTCCCATTAGTGTACCCATGGTATCAGAGTAAGTGCCCTGGTGGCTGAACAGCAGTAGACGTACCAAACTGTACTTACTAGATTCCTTAGTGGCCATCTGTTATCAATGACTTTTGTCAGTGCTAATAAACACTTTGAAATATGCACTAAGTGTTCTACCGTACAGGCCTTTCCTGATCACATCTTATCTTGTCTGGGGCTTACCAGACAGGATTTGATTCAGGAGCACCTTTTGTAATGGACTCTTTCAGGGTGAATGGGCTCATAGACCTGATCTAGCTCTGTTGGTCACGGGGATGAGAAACAACAGCAACATTATAGAAAACGATGGTAAATGAATGTGCGAATCAGGCTCCATCAATGCAAAGAAAGTTTCAGTAAGGGGTTTAGGATTTATCGCAGGATCTCTTACAATGGGATATTAATAATAAAAAGATTGGGATTATTGTGCCTCAGGTTTCTAAAAAGAGCTCTTTTTGAGCGTAAACCCACCATGATGGATAGACTTTGGAAAGTAGTGGAAAAGGAATGGAAACCAATAGACTTGGAAAGTTTACGTAAAGACTTCCTGTCATGGAAACCACGTTGCAGAAAAAAAAAGTATTCAAATGTCGTCCAGAAAATCAAAGTATTATAATGTCTTCCAGAAAACCAAAGCATTATAATGTCGTCCAGATAAACAAAACATTACAACGTCCTCCAGAAAAAAAGCAGATGAAGTCGAAGATTGAGAAAAATCCTATTTTAATTTTGAACACTAATTAAAGGCCCCGGAATCGTTCTAAAAATGTGTAAACATCCTCTGTATTTTTATTGTATAATATAATTTCTAGTAATACTCATAATAAGTTAAAATTTTCCACAATCTATTTTAGACGTAACTTGTGGGCACTACAAATAAATATCTCTTGTGGACACAAAGAGACTTCCTTGCACGGTCTATTGAATTATAGGCATTTTTTGCTGGATTTCATTTAAACTTAGTTCTTCGAATTTCGTTAGAAATGTATTTCTCATTGACTCAGTTAAGTTCTCTTATCGTGGCAAGGCAGAAATATGTAGAAAATCAAGACATCATCATAAAAAACTGCGAAATGCAGAAAAACCTACGAAAGTTTCTATGAAAAAATAAGCAATTTAGCGAATGACCAGGAAGACAAGATTTTGATGCACAAAATTTTAAGTTAACTTTCTGTCCCACTGGGCAAACAGACATAGATTTTGGTGCACAAACTGACTTAATTCACTATACTACTAAGAGTTTCAAATGTAAGGAAATAGCCGCCACATTAGGCGTAGCGTAACTTGCACTTTAAATTTCTTGATAATTCTACAATTCTTGCAAATCTAATTGCATACTGATTACCTAAAGGCAAAAAACACTTAACAGAAACATAAGAACAACATAATTCAATCACTTTTAAAGCAAAAATGCGCAATTTACTAACATATAAGAATAAAAACACAAAGCTCCCCGATCCGAGTTAAAAGAGTGGATATATCTATATATGTGCTTGGTGCGGTTAGTTGCAACCAAAAAGGGAGATGAAAACTACGTTTCATATCAGGCCTATATACAAAATTTTAGCATTCTAAGGCTACTCTTTTTTGAGTTATGCGAGATGCATACGTACGTACAGGCGTCACAAAAAAATCTCCCTAAATCTATTTTACAGTTCGTTTTGGAAAAAAGAGTGCTTTATTGTGTCCGTACTTATAGATGTCACGCAAAAACGTTGTTTAAATTAATTTGAGAGCGGTCAAAATCGATATTTCCGTTCAACTATGATACTTGAAATTTTTCGCGATTACAGTACCTCGTACAAGGAATTAAAAATTAAAAACGAACTGTAGACTTATCGTCGATTAACAGTAATGTATGCTTATAGGTGCGCTAAAGACAGGATTACACCAACAAAACCTACCCAGATCTATAACGTACTTTGTGTCAGAGCAGGAAACTAGCTAACTTTCTTATTCTTACTGAGCTCCATAAAATTATTCGTAGCTATGTCTTTTAGTCCATGAGCGGCTTCAGCAGATGTCAGTATTTCAGAATGGATTCACTTTTAAGTGTTTCTAATTATAAATTATGGCACCTGCTGTAAGATTTGCATAAGCATCTAGTCTGCGCGAATATCGTGACCATATAATTAAATCAGGAAAGAAATTATCCTAAATGTTACAATATATCTAGCTAAAGAGTTTTCAGCAGTTTTCTGAGTTCCCAGAATTATTGCATTCTTCCAGGAGGTGCACTTTTAATTACAAAGAAAGTTCGGCTGGATTTTTAATAGACTGAGAGAAATCTCCTTATAAGAATATCAGTTTTCTTTTCATTTCTTTTAAGCCCAAAGGACGTTAGCCCAGAAGGGATATTAATTTTACTTTAGCATTTTGTGGCGTTTCACTATAAACGGCGTTTCATTTTTCAAATTGTTGCCACCAAATATTAAAGCCCTGCATTATATTTAAAGAAATTAAATAATAAATAATTTGCCTAAACGTATGTATGTTGCTCGCTTTATGTCTTTGTGATAAAACTATGGTACCCAGAGTCATCAAATTTTTAATAACCTAATCCTCCACTTTGGAA